GGGGGGGGGGGGGGGGGGGGGGGGGGGGGGGGGGGGGGGGGGGGGGGGGGGGGGGGGAGAGGGCTTGCCTCTGCCGGCAAATGACAGAGCTTGAGAGCAGGAACAGCTTGCGTCGGTGCAAACTATTTTTTCATAATCACGAAACTGGATTACATGTGGTGGGGATCTTCGCTAGAAAGTAACTCCTGTCGCAGTTCCTCGCCGTATTGTTGGTGCGTGCTACAGGTTCACTACTGAAGCACGCTTTGCGCACATGCCACAAGCTCAAGAGGCGAGACCAGCCGGGTGGATGTTAGCTTTGCACCGGGACCCACAACATCTCGTGGACCAGATGCAAGTTCCAACCCGGCCACTCCCCGCAAACGACACGGTCTACACGCTGAAACAACAGCAGAACGATCTTGGTATTTTTTCGTCCCCGGGCACCTGGACAACTACGCCACTCACCAGACTACTCACCAAAAAGACAAGTCAGTGCCAACAGATATAATAATTCAGCGAGACCGATGTGGACCGCTTCGGAAAGTTTGGGGCACGCAATGCCATCCTCTCCTTCTGCCTTTGGGCCCACTCCGGCGCTACAATATGATGCCAAACCCGGGAGCGTCACTACAAGGGTATCACAAGGTATCTACGTACAGCCCCAGACATGCCGCCCAGATGGTAAGCCTGACACAAACAGCACCACACCGACAACAACTTCAAGCAAGACCACCCAACAAAGCGCACACAAAGGGAGGTGGAAACCCATCCATCCACGAGGTGTCGCGGCCATTACCGTAAAAGGCGGATACATGGCACCGCCAGTTGGCCGATTTACGAAGCTCTATTGCTCTGCAACCAATCTTGCGCGCCAACACGGTGGTTTTGTTAACATCTCGTCAAGGACTTTCCGTAGACATGTCGGGCTCTTTCCGCACCCCTTGTGGCGCAATCGAGCTCTAGGGGGGGTGCCATCCCTCCGCTTTCCACCATGCGCTTCATTACTACCTCTGGCCTTCCGCAGAGTGCCCGAGGGCGATAAAAGTCAAGGCGACCGGGATGATTAGCAGACCCACAGCCAGCTGCAGCGTAGCCAGGCTTCGCTTTGGGTGCGGCTCCGGGTGAAGCTTGAGGTAAAGGAGGCCCGGAAGCACGAAGGCCACGGTAGTCGATCCGGTGGCTCCCACAACCTTACAGCGACAATGGGGGGGAAAGAGGCGATGGGTTAAAAACGTAACGTTCCGAAACACGAGGACGTCGTGTAAGATATATCCGCGATACATCAAGCGTTCAAGGTTAGGAGTATGCGTTGAAACTATTGAGAGCGGGAACAATCAACGGCGGTTTTGCTCAAACGCGATGGACTCGAGCTGGATAGGGCGTGGAAGCACCGGCTGTTTCAGTCGGGGCCATCACATATATGTGGGAATGAGATGGGGGTTATCGGAGAACACAAAACAAAACCGGCAGTAGCACATCGACCGTTGAAGCTGTTGCCTTGGGTACCGTACCCGTAGCAATAACAATCCATCTTTCTCCAAACATTGCAAAAGGGCTTGTGTTACTGTACGCGACATATTCCTCCCTCCGGCCTCTCCCTCTCTCTCTCGTAACACACCTACCTCCAGAATGACGCCCAAGTCGTTCACCGCCATCGCTATCGTGTACGACAGCGCCAAGAACGCCGCCGTCACCACCATGTGTCGGAACCCGTCCGGCGACGTCCAGAACGCCGCCCCTCCCTCCCTCTCTCCGGCGGCCTGCCCTGCAGAAAAGACCGTTCTCGGGAACGCTCGCCCCCGCCCCGCCGACTCAGTATCCGCGGCGTCGCCCTGGAGGTGGTGCTGCCGCCACCCCACGTGTTCCCCACCCCCTCTCCCCAAGCCGACCTCCTCGTCCGGAGCGGCGGCGGCGGCGACGTGGGCGCCCTCCGACAGCAGCTCCCCCCGCTGCTCGCGGTCTTCCACCAGCAAAAACCGGGCTTCTCCCTCCGCCGTCCCCCGCCGCGCATCTCCTGCCCCCCCTTGGGATTCGAAACGCGTGTTATCGACGTCTCCTCCGACACCGCCCAGGGCAGCAGACGTCGGTCCACCGATCACTTCCCCGCCGCCGAGCAGAAGCCTCTTGCCACGCTGTCCCGGCTCCGAGCTCGGCGACGCACCCTCGTCTCTACATCCATCGCTATTCGGCGAGGCAGCGGTGTTGCTATCTGCAACGACGCTGCCAGTGCTGGAGAGGGGGGCTTCCGGCGGACCGGAGGCGTTTCGGTGTCGCAGAAGGGACGGCGAGATTGAGTCCTCGGCGGTGTACTTCGCTATCCCGGCGCCGTCGTCTGTGGCGAGGCTTGAGTATGCCTCCTCCATGTCCAGGGAAAACGCCTTCCATGTTGACAGGATGCACACCCGGCTCGGGTGTGCCTGTAGGGATGGTTACACCAAAAGAAATCAGCAGTTCGTGGCCAGGGCGAGGGGATTATTATGCTTATTTGCTCAGCACTTAGACAGCCCCCACAGCCGTTGGAGCCGCAATCCGTTGTTACACAAAAGGGGTCCTCCCCCTGAGGCCCCTTACCGACCCCTCCTGCGGTGCTTGCCTGCGGCATATCACGCGAAAAGAATGCAGTACTCTCTTGTCACGGTGGAGAGGAAAAACAGCGCTTGACATCAAGACACAAGTGGCCATAAAGAGGGAGTGGTTTGTTGGAAGCACCCATACGGAACGGAGCCAGGTCTTGGAACACTGTAAGCCAACTAAATACACCCGAGTCTAGCCGACGGAGAAAATAATGCATCTTGCGTGCATGTACGGGGAAATGGAATTTACCTTGGTGCCAAGGTTTGCAAGGCTACCTGTCATGAATCGAAATCAAAATCAGAGGAGTCGCGGGAATGTGCCATGTGCACGTCTATTCAAAACACGAAAGGGGTAAGCCAGCGACTTGGCGATTTCACCATGCAGATACGAAATATGGACGCAGAACACACACAGTTCAGGGGGAAAGGCAATGATGGGTAACAGCCAAAGCACCGTGAAACCCTGCAGAAAAGCTTATGTCGCAGCAACGCATGCATACCATCGTTTGACTTGGTGATGTTTGGATGAAACTGATGTGGAACACGGACTGAAGGACGGGGTCCAACAACACCTTTGCCTGCATCCACTTTGGGCTTTTGTGACGTGTGGCATACAATCAAGCCGATCATATTTGGGCGTAAAACCTCTTTTGACCTCATGTGGTATTCTGTCCATTGAGGGCGCTAAACCCCTCTTGCACAATGTGGGTATTCAGCAACGGCGTGCTGTACTTTGTAAACACATTTGTTTTTCATCGGAAATTATTTTTCCTCCATTCAGGGCAAGTTAATTGTGCGGGGGGTGCGGCGTCTTCAGGGGGGTGTTGCCCAAAGTCAACCGTGTACGTTGGTAAAATGTCCGGCAAACAACAATGATTCACAATATGACACAGCAACACATGCACTGCTGTTCTGTAAGCACCCTTCATGTCGGCTGGGGGGGGAGGCACAGAAGCGCAGGGCTTGTCATCTGTCGTATTGGCCTGCAGTATTTACAGGCTCGGTAACATTTGGACTTGTTGAAAAGGTACACCCAGACTCCAAACTTCCGCTTCGGAGTGACGTGGAAAAAATAGCACGCTGCCACCACAGCGAGGATTCGCAGGCACATCAAACCCGAGCATTAGCTCTCACCACGTTCTCGAGACGACAACAGTATCAGCAGCAGCATCGCAAACACCAACATTGCGGCAAAAAAGGAAAAAAAAAAAAAGCGGCAAATTACCTAGCTCTTCTTTACTATTTCCTTTTCACCTGCAGAGGGTAGCATGACGTCACCAGCATGGACACGCAGATCCGAGCCGTCGTGAGCAGACCGTTGCGTGGGTAGGTCTTCAGGAGGTCCCCATCCACGCCGACACCGAACGTCGCGTAAGCTCCCCATGCAATAGACATGTATATCGCTATGGCTACGAGCATGGAGCAGGCTTTTTGGTTCGGCGGGTAAGGTGACGGCAGAGGGGAGGGGTGGTGGTCAGCTGCTTTCTTCTTGGACGGGTACGTTGCTGGAGCACTGCCAGAGACTAAAAAGTTGGACAATCGTGAGCGTTAGGGGCATGTGCGGAGGTGGAGGAAGTAGGCCCCCGTTTGTTGGAGCGCACAGTGGGTTCAACGAAATAGAGGCTCGACACAAGGGTCTATTCGATACCAGACTTAGGGTTAGGGTCAAGAAGGCCGGCTGGTGTTTCAATAACAACCGCGTAGCCCCCTCCCGAGACGGGTCACACGCTCGCTGGAGGTTGCCTGCCTCTCGAAATATGATCGTGGATGTTTGGCAACACATACAGGTAACATCCACACCCCAATTTACCATCACCCCCATCACGTGGGTGTGGAAAAACGAGTATACGCCAAGTAGATGGAGGGAAGGAGTGGTTGTGAACTTGTTTAAGAAAGGAGACAAGACTGACCCAGGAAACTACAGGGGGATCACACTGTTGAACACAGTAGGAAAAGTGTTCTGTAAGCTGCTGAACGATAGGATAGTGGGAGTATTGGAGAAGGAACANAAAGAAGAGGAGGTGCGTAGAACACGTATTCACGGTAGGGAGAATCATCCAAGGTAGAAAGAGGGCGGGAAAGCCGACGTACTGCTTCTTCCTGGACGTGAAAAAGGCATACGACACCGT